GTTCTATGACTCATCAAATGACACTAGTTTTTACTAGATGTGAATGGAGCCAATGATCTGCATTGGATGGAGCACATGACATGAAATAAATATTTATAAACATTAAATCAGGGGTAACCAATTAGAAATCAGCAGGATCTGAATAAAGAAAATAATCAAGCAGTAAAGGTCCAGAGACATTTTTAATGATCTGTTACTTTAAACAGAATTTAACACTGAAATAAAATGAGGTGTTTATGCATCCATGTTAAACATTGAATTTTTAAATAAAATAAAAAATAAAAAAAAATTGAAAATGTTTCCATTTTAAGATCTAAAGTTTTTTTTGAAGTAGAAAAAAACAATAGTTCAGTTTGGTATATAGACAATTTCCTAACTCACATGTTTTATAAAACACCTGAACTGATCGTTTGTTATTTTCTTTTTCTGTCTTAATGAGAGCAGTGGGCTTTAGGCTGCCCTCCAAGGCTTTAAACCTGGGTTTGAATGGAGACTAAGCCATTCTAAAGCACATATCAAGGTGCTCATTTTGAGCCTGGATCCAGATTTATTGTTGATTCTGTTCATGGTGGAGAATCCTGCTTCACAGCAGCTGGTTGAGCCAAACATCCTCTAAATGTGCAGGCTCCGCTTCGCTCTGCTCCGCTCCGATCAAGATTCGCTATTGCAATCTCACCAAACACAAAAAAGAATGTTGAGAAGATCCGGTTTGTCAAATAAAAATACAGTAACAACAGATTGGTAAATACAAATTAAAGCATAATTCTTATATATTTCAAAAAAATAACACTGTCTATTTAAAAGATTGGATGCAAACTATTGGTACTTCAACAGACCCGGAAGCACATTTCTCATCTCCAAAAATGTTTTAAATCAGGTTGGGTCCGAATTAGCCAGCAGGTGGGTCCGGATCCAGACCACCGTCCTCTAATTCGTGACCTCTGCATTAAAACGAAGCCAAGAGTGACGAGTAATGTTTGTTTTAAAAATGTAAGGAATAGAAAGTGCAGATACTTGTGTGAAAATGTAATGAGTAGAAGTCAGAAGTAGGAAGAAAAATAAGTAATAGAATGAAGTATAGTACAGTAATGAAGTATTTGTACAGTACTTCGTTACTTGACACCTCT